GCCGGAATAGGTGACCGACCTGTTTTTATATTCTTTTGAAGCAGAATTTATTTCTTTTAATCTTAAACTAATTGAAAAAAAGCTTTCTGGGACCTCCATTTCATAATTTTTCTGTACGGATATCACATTTAATTTGACAAAAGCGAATTTTATGCATTTGTCGTTCAAAGTATTATTTTAAATTAAAGGAGAAAAGATTACAAAAAGCTTTCGTGTTTGTTGTTTAACGTCCCTCTCCAGAATTTTCACTGATATGGTAACGCCATCACTTGACGGTGGAGAGCTGCAATCAAGTTTTGTCCTATGATCGGCACCGATGGCCATTGAGCAGTGAGGGATCTTTTTCGTACCAGCATCTATTGCGGCACGGAACCACGTATTATACGATCTAATCCGGAGGACCGTTCTCGACGTCCAGAAGTGGCATTCGAACCCGAGACGTAAGGATCAGCTCCTTACTCCGTGACGCTGCTATTATAATTAAGGCGGACGCTCTCTACTGATACTTACTCTTTCTAGACACCTCTGGAATACCTGGGATTTCGTGCTCATGCCCTTTTCACATATTTATATTGTGATGTTTTTTTTTCGAAGATCGATCACTGCTCGATATATTAATATTTGTATTCTGTATTTCATTTACCCATTGGGTCTTACAGGTATTGTATCAATAAAAACATGCAAACTGTTGTTACATTTTAAAAGTTTATGTTTGAGAAAAATAAGCATATAAATTCAGCAAAAAATGCGTATATAAAATACGATTCAGTTTTTGACAAAATGTTTTTTTTAAGAGACAGTATGAATATTAAAAATTCTGCCAAAGCTGCCATATTGTTAAAGTAAATGTTCCTAAAGCAGAAGAAGTATATATTTAATTCACATATAACACAATTTACTAAAAAACCACCTCTTCACTGTTTATTATTGAATAAAAATGCACCTGTCAGGATTAAAATAAAAATTAAATGGAAAAATAAAAAAATTCTTTTCCAGTATAAAATTACAATACATGAGCACACAGATAGAACAAAGCAAATAATCAAATCAAAATTCTGATGGGAATGACATATGTACATCTCTAATCTTGCCAATTAATGTTCCGTGGTCATATGATTCACTTTACATTTTGATATCTACATTTAACATAATGGATAATTATTACTTTTGTCACATAATGTTAATATGTGGGTCCTTTTTATTTATAAATGAACTTTTATCAAGAGTTCATGCATTGAACACACTCAAACGATGCCCTGGTAATAAATTTGTGTATAGCTAAATTATATAGGGCGACATCAAATAGATAGTTTTCCACATCCGCAGCTAATTTCTCCGGGATCCAGAGACACCAGTTCCTGTAAAAAAAAAATATAACAGCTTTAAAAAGTAGTCTCTTGACCAGTAGGGGTATTTTATGTTTATAAAGCGATTATTATTATTCAAAATAAAATAGTCACTTTGAACATCCCTCCCCCACCCCGGTTGACAGCAGGATTTTTAAGATTGATTGATTTATTGTATACTGTTAACGTCCCTCTCCAGAATATTTCACTGATATGGAGACGTCACCATTGCCGGTGAAGGGCTGCAAATTTAGGCCTATGCTCGGCACTTACGGCCTTTGAGCAGGGAGGGATCTTTATCGTGCATTTTTAAGAAGTTATGGTAGCAGAACAAGAAAAATTTTTTATATGATTTGGACAAATACCTTGTTCGGGTTCTTGGTATATAAAACAAAAGGTTTGTCTTATTATAATATGAAAGTTATTATATGAAAGAAAACATACCATGTACAAATAATCCAGGGCCTTGAAAACTCTTGTTCGGAGCACCTGCAAAATCTGTTAGAATTATCAAAACCAAGCTTCAACACTATAAATGTTGTTATTTTATCAATTAAGTATTTCATTAATAAGTACCTGCTGGAGTACTGGTAAAAAGATTTGGAAAATAGCCTGAAAAAAAATTTGTTAGCATCAATATGTCTCCTTTATCAAAATTTTTTTCCCAGGAAATCATATAACCTTCCCCTTCCCCTAAAACAGTTATTTTATCTATGACAGTCAATCCATTCGGTGCCTAAGATACATTTTCCATTTCTCTACATGCGTTTTAACATAAATTATTACACCTCCACTGATTTTTCACTATATAATAGCAAATCGATATATTTTGCCGATTCCCTGAAAATCACCATAAAAAGACTGATTCCCTGCAGAAAGGTGCGTCAGTTTGATGAACTGATACACACCTATTCGGAACACATAGCAATTTCTTTTAATTATAAGAAAAGTTCCGATGTATTCCATGAATATTCACAATGCAGCTATATAAGGAGGCGGGGCCTAATTTACACGGGAAAAGGTTAGCCTACTTGTTATTATGACGTCATCCTTGTAGACTAATGAGCACTGAGAGGTATCGACTGATCCCGTAACTTTATCACATTGTAATTTTTTTCATAAATATAAACAAATTTTGTTACAGATACTATTTTGTATCTAATTGATTTAAATGCAAAGATCTTTTATTGAATTTATTTATTTATTTTATATTTCAACATTCTAAGTAATCATCTCCTTCATTTCAATTCCCGTATGGCAACGCGTTTAAAATAAAATTGCAGTAACTGGTTTTGAAAATATCTAATTTTTGTATCGGTATAATAAAACAGTTAAAGTATATCATTGAGGGAGTCAATTTAATTTTATGGTAGCATCTAAAAGCGCAGTGGTTAGTGTCTCGTCTTAGAGTTGCAAAGTAAGGAGTTGATCTTTACGTTGCGGGTTCGAATCCTACTGTGGGTCGTGGAGATCGGGTCCTTTGGATGAGACCGTAGAACCGAGTCCCGTGTCGCAGTAGGTGATGGCATGAAAAAGATTCCTCCTTGCTCAATTGCCTTGAGTGCCGAGTATAGACAAACTTTGCAGCTCTCCAACTGCAAGTGATGGCGTCTCCATATGAGTGAAACATTCTGAGAGGACGTTAAGCAATTAATACAATCAATCAATCTAAAAGGACTTTTTACCTAATATGAGCGATGACTCTACTTTTACTTTTAAGTGCTGAGCACGAAGTAATATTTAGTTTACAGAATTACATTCACTCAGTTAAAAAGCATTTTTTTAAAAATCCAAAATAAGGTATGTTTATGTTAGAAAATTCAAACCAACTCGTTTGCTACACTATATAGTGTTTGGAGAAATTTTATTTAAAGTTTACATGTTCTTGAAATCGTTTTTAAAGTTTATATTTGATAATTAAACCAAGTTTATTAGATATAAACTTCCATGTGTCATTGATTAAGAGTAAACTTTTCCTTTTTCATTTTGATATACATGTATAAATATACCAAAACGCTTTTAGTAAGCTTTACCTTTCAACCCTTGAAATGCTTCCTCTAGTTTTGATTTCTCTGCTTTATGCTCTTCTTTGGTAACTGTCAACTCACGTTCTGTCTGAGCAAGTTTTTCTATGCCATAAGTAAAACATTTCTATATTAATATTTCCATCTGTTTTCTTAGGAAAATTTTTTGTGTGTTTATGCGTGTTGATAATTACAACAATATGCAAAATTGATCAAACGTTTATCTGCATGTTAATTTCCCGTGTCTACCATTTTTCCGACGTCATTGGGCGACGACTTTGGAAATTATTAAAGAATGCCTTCTGTATTTCATAATTATTATCTATATGACACCACTTGTATTATATTTACGTTTTTAATTCATAGATAATGTTAAATATATGACTGTTTGATGGAAATGACATTTACGTCAGTTGAAAATGCAATAATTTACGGTAAATGGCCTTCACAAGTAATGTTTTCAGCTGCCGTTGATGTCCTATACTAGCAAACTTGCAAACTTAACAAACAAGTGATCCTTAACATTTTCAAAAAAATTCTCTTTAAAACAGTGTAAATATTCTCCTTTTCTAACTTCATTACGAAAAATACATGCTTGTAGGGAAAAAAAACTCATATTACTTAAAAACAAAACAAACAAAATAATCGAACAAACGAAATGACCAACTTTTCTTTAGAAATACCCGTACACAGGTCTTTTATTTAATGTTAACATACCTTTCGTGAGATGGAGCTTACTTTCTAATTCCCCTTTCTCTTGTCCCAATATCTCCAAGGAAACTGTCGATAGAATCAATATGAATCACAATTTTAACGGAAGAAGAGATATCAGTTAGTATTGTAAAAAGAATAAAAAAGTAGAGTTTAGTGTACCTTTATAATTTTTTGCAGTCTTTTCTTCTTCTAAATATTTGTGAAGAATACCTCCATTGTCTGCTGCAAACATAACAATATCTTCATATACATTATTGTAAAGAAACGAAGTTTGGATAATAAAAAAAATCTATTGCTTCCGTCAAATAATGCCAATAAAAAAAATTCGTTTGTTTGAAATAATATCGTCTCTTTTGAATCTCTAAATGTTATTCGAACGTTTACAAATGCCGTTCTACATCACCTTATGCGAATAGATAATATGGTTTAGGGGGGAAATTTAACAATGATAGAGAATAAAATCTGAGAGGATGATATACTCATAAATTTATTTTTAAAAAAAATTAAAAAAGACTGAAAAATTAAAAATTAAAGGTACAGCATGCCATATTATTACCTAACCTACTATATGAATTATAAGTAGGCATTTTGAACTGTTTCACGGTTTATTTTATGTTTTTGCGTGATCATGAAACAGTGTTTACATGAACTGTTGCCTGTTTAAAGCGTCATCCTGATATTCAAACGTTTTGATGATCAGACATCATAAATTACGTACCTATAAAATGCAAATTTAAATGGAAATCAATTTATTAAGTATTACTTAAAATTAAAAATATTAATTTAATCTTTATATATTGTGTTCAGCTAATTAATAAAATCTGAATAAACAGGTGAAAACTTTTTATTGAATTGTGTATTTTTTAAAAAAAATTAAAAAAGACTGAAAAATTAAAAATTAAAGGTACAGCATGCCATAATGTCAAATTACTCACCACATAGTTTTTTCATTCTCCAGCGCGCGCGCGCGCGCGCGCGCGCGCGCGCGCGCGCGCGCGCGCGCGCGCGCGCGCGCGCGCGCGCGCGCGCGCGCGCGCGCGCGCGCGCGCGCGCGCGCGCGCGCGCGCGCGCGCGCGCGCGCGCGCGCGCGCGCGCGCGCGCGCGCGCGGCGCGCGCGCGCGCGCGCGCGCGCGCGCGCGCGCGCGCGCGCGCGCGCGCGCGCGCGCGCGCGCGCGCGCGCGCGCGCGCGCGCGCGCGCGCGCGCGCGCGCGCGCGCGCGCGCGCGCGCGCGCGCGCGCGCGCGCGCGCGCGCGCGCGCGCGCGCGCGCGCGCGCGGAGAGTCTTTTCAAATTTTCAATCTCTTTACTGGCTTCCTCTAGCCTCTCTAGAAATTATAATAATTTTGGGAAAATAAAAAAACAATGGAAAAGTCTCTTTCGTCGTAAAAGAACTTTCCCTTTTTTTCGTAATTAATCAAATAATTATTGAAGAACTATAATATTGAAGAAAGATTAATAAAATTATTTTCATTGCGTTGCGACTCAGTTGCATTCAATACTTATGAGTTTATCATTCTATATTGTTCAAAACATTTTAAAGGCATAAAACCAACAGAGACAAACCTGCAAACAAGAACTTTAAAACACAAATGATTATTTATAAAAGAAGCAAAATACCCTTACTTGATTGAAAATTATTATTTAAAGCAAAAAACGTACGCAGATAATTTTCTTCTCTTGTCTTGTGATTATATATATCCTCCTCTAACTTCTCAATTTCTTTTAATCTATCCTCTCCAATGTTTCTCTCTTGGTGAAGAGATTCTGTTCGTATTGATAATTTTAAAGCATTCGTCGAAATTGACAGTTATAGTACATCTACTATTTGTGAAATATACATAAAAAGTTATGTATATATTATTATAATCATTGTGGGATTGTCTGCTGAGGAGATGCATACCATTCATAGAATCTATTTCTTTTTTAAGTTTCTCTATTTCAGCCTCCCTTAAACCCTCCTCTGTAAAAAAGAATACCCGGTAAGAACCAGAGAATACAAACATAGAGATCTATATTCTATTTCAGTTTTTTTTGCGAGTTTGTGTAAAGTCAAATGTGCATTGAAACAGCCCCTCTAACATAATAATGGAAAAACTGAAGTGGCAATACATGAGATAGAAAATAGTTGTGTAAAATGTAATGTTAACGATTGTTGTGTTTTTAACTAATCAAACTAAGAAACAGATTTGAAAACCATTTTGTCTAAAGTCAAACAAAAATATACATAGAAAAACACGTGATAAGTTGATATCACATTGAGGGTGAATGTCACTTCTGTATACTTTTACTTATAACTTTCCAATTCAAATTATGTTTCATTTACGTATATTGAGAAATCTTTATATCTTTTTATAGGAAAAAATAACATAATTTTACACTAGCAATTAACAAAAACTAAACTTTATATGGTCTTAGTCGTAGGTTTTTTTTTGTAAAACAGTCACAAGGTGTATATAGAAAGTGGTAACTTTTGTATATTTACAAACCGTTAGATGCCTTGGTCTTTATTTCTAGAAAGAAAAAGAGATTAAATATAATTAAAACATAAATGTGATTGTTTTTATGTGTTTTTGATCTTATGCATGAAATGCACATACAAAAAAGCATACCAAAAATGTCCATATGTACATGTAGTTAATTAAGCAAGATCAAGTAACACACATCTACTGTCGTATTAAATTAAATGGAAGCTGAGTAATAACGGATGTCTTACAGTCTACTTACCATGTAATTGTTTTTCAGCCGTTTCCAACTCTAGAATTCTATGCAGTAAACCGCAATTTTCATCTGAAGGAAAGTGGACAAATATCTACTGAAATCTGTTTGACATCATAGGATGTTTCAAAGGATGTGTATTTATTACATTTATCCAAATGCACTTTGAAGATAAAATTAACATAGCGATACCTTTCATTAATATCAAATAGTAATGTGCTTAATTTTATTGAAACTGAAGAAAAAAGGCGGAAGTTATGTATTTATAAATGGGCAGATGGACATTCTACTAAATTTTTATCCCTTCTGGTTTCATACCAAAAGCTAATTATTGAGGTATGTGCATGCTGTGTACAATGTATCATAATTTAGATATGTCCATAAAAATTAAACAATACCAGACTTATCGTTGTTTTCTTTGGTAAGTTGTTCAATTTGTGCTTCATAATCACTCATTATTTCTGTAATCAAAAGAGATCTTTCTTAAAAGATTTGTGGATTTGAGTACTAAGAAGGAAACACTTAATTTATCTGAATTCAATCATAGAATCATTCATTGAATCATCAACCAATTAATACCTTGTTGTGAATGTAGCTCATTATTCAAATCCCTTATTTTTCTTTCGTATGAAGTAGATTCTAACAGAACACAAAATAATTAGTGTTGCAAGTATTTTTCCTTTTCATTTTTCAATACAATATTCTAATTTTAATGATTGTAATTGCTTTTTTCATGTGAATGTTATCAAGAATCGTTGAATTATAAACAGAATCTAACCAAGATCTTCTCTGTCTTGTAGATTATTTGTTTCCTGTGTCCAACCAGACAGTGTATTATCATGAGGAAGACGATCTGTTTCCTGATTTGGCACATGGTAACGCATACCTGTATAATATATTTAAAGGTTAAACTTGGTCCCCCATTGTGGCCTCAGCCTATCCCTGGGGGTTATGATCTGAACAAACTAGAATCTATACTGCCTGAGGATGTTTCCATATAAATATCACTAATCATGGCTTTGTAGTACTTGAGAAGAAAATTTTTAACGATTCCATATATATTCCTATGTAAAACTTTGATCGGTCATTGTGGCCCCACCCTACCCCCGGGGGTCATGATTTGAACGAACTTGAATGTGCACTACCTGAGCATGATTAATAATAATAATAATATAATAATAATAATTTATTTAAAGGTGGTATCCCGATTAGTGCAATGCACTTGTCTTCCTCGGGGGCCTCTAAACACATTCACAATAATACAATTATAAAAGCATTGTACAATATTATAACAAATAACACAATATGACGTACAAATACAATTACATATACGATTTTAGGACATGGAATTATATTTCTTTTACTTGCGGCATGTTATTATAAATTTTTCTACATTTTTACGAAATGTTTGTACAGTTAGTGAAAAACATATATGCAAAGGTAATTTGATCCATAAATGAACACTGGAATAATGAAAGGAATTTTCAAATTGATTTGCTCGATATTTCGGTAAATGAAGGTCATAGTTTGTTTCAGATCGTAGAACATAACTATTAGAAGAAATAAATTCAAAGGAGTCTCTTAAATAGTTAGGCCATACCATGAAGTGTTTTGTACAGTAATACATATTTATAAAAATC